CCACCGAAATTAATGGTCTGTATTTTGAAATGTAACATTTTTATACATTAAAATAAAGAAATAGATAGATTGATAATCTTATCTCAGAGTACTTGGAAGTGTTTTCTCTCTGTGTGCACATGTATTTATTTTGTTGGTTTTAATTTTCCTCTTGGGTTAAGATCATGGCTAGAATGTTAGATATAATGTGGTCACTATATATGCTTAAGCTATCTATCCATTGTAGGCTTATTCAAATTTGCAAAATATTGAAAACAACCTAACTCTTTGCATTGTTCCTCTATGCTTGCTAACAAGTTATACCCACATTTAGCAGCTGGAGATAAAAACATTTGCCAGCTCACATTTCTGTAGGTCAGACATCCAGGGGTGCCCTAGCTGACATCCAGGGGTGCCCTAGCTGACATCCAGGGGTGCCCTAGCTGAAGGGACCCCATTCATGTGGCTGTGGTATAGCTGTCTGCCAGGACACAGGCACCCAAGCTTGGCCAAGGATAGACGGCTCACTTCCAGTCACTCAAGGCCTTTTTTTTTTTTTTTTTGTACCGGGCATCAAACTCGGGTCCTTGCACTTGCAGGCGGCGAAACCACTGAGCTAAATCCCCAGCCCACTCAAGGCCTTTTTAACAAGTCTCAGCTCATGGCTTCTTTGCTGGAGACTCAGACAAGTTGAATAAAGACAACAGGCGGTTCATGTCAGGTCTGAGTGTGGTTAGAAAATGACAGCTGGCTTTTCCTAGAATGAGCGACCAAAGACAGAGCAATGACAAAGAGGAGGAGGCCCTAACAGAAGCTGCATTTTGTATAAATCACTTTGGGAAGTGGCACAATATGGCAACTCTGCCTTTTGCTATTTGTCACACTGACCTACCTTCGTACAACTCGGGGAGCCACTCCACGGCCCAGAGCTGAAATGCGGGAAGGGATCACAGGAATCCGCAGGGAGAAAGGCATCTGGTGTCTGGGCCTGGGTAGGGGCCGTGGCCACCTCTGCACGTCCCCCAGCGGGACCTTATGCTGCCGTAAATGAGGAGGAGGAGGAAAAGCTCTAGGAGCTGTGGCTCCCAGAAAGTATTAAGGAAAAATTCTTCCAGTCATGAAAGAAAGAAAACTAGGCAAAAAACACATTTGTGTTTATTAAGAAAAAACAAAACAAAACAGGAAAATAAGTCAGGTATCAATGTTAATTATTTGAAAAAAGTATGTTTGGGACTTTGGAACAGATGGGATATAAGAATGAGTGACACTTTTTTCTAAACCTTGACGACCTTCTGACTTTGGAAAAAGAAAACAATAAATCAACACAAATGAGAAATTAAAAATAAAAAATTTAACTGAGTGTAAAATTAAAAACTAAAGCAAATATGTTTCAAATGAAGACATAACCACACTGGAGGGGTTTAACCAGCACGTCACTTGTGAACAGAGTGTGGCACTATGTGCTCCCCTTCTCTGCGGATTGGTCGGGTGTCACTTTCTAATGCCTGGAAACAATGCTGGAGCCAGGCAGGGCTGAGCAGCAGGCCGGTGAGCCCTGTACAGGAAGCCCTGTCCTCCCTGTGGAAGAAAAGACAGAAACTCGAGGCTGAGAAGCATACACTGTTACCTGTTGCACTGCCACACCATTCCCACGCCATCTACACAACTGTGCATGGACGAACACATGCATAGGTGTGCATGCAAAGCATAGGTAAATGGGTATTCGTATCTATGAGCCAATGAACATTGATATAGAAAGATACATTGGAAGAAATCCTCCTCCAGTGCATCTGCTAAAAGGGCCAAGTAGCGATTCTACCCCATGACCACTTCATCATGCTCAGTACTCTCAATTTGGACTTGAATATAATTTTCTCCAGAAGGAACTTTAGCTCCTCAAATAAACAGCTGATGCCAGGGCTGGGGCAGATATCACACACGATAAGCTCAAAACTATGTGCTACACCTGAGCTTAACGAAACAGCTTTGGAATGGCAGGTGCCTGTCACAAGCCAGAACACAGAAACCCACTTGAAGCATCTCTCCCTGGCCAAATATGGGACACTCTGAGCACTGCAGTCTTTAAGTACAGTGATGAATTATAAACTAGGTGAGAAAAGGAATCCATCAGCTCTGATGGATAAAAATAAATGGATGATAGAAAGATAGATGATAGATAGAAAGCTAGATAAGCAGGCATGTGGGTAGATGGATGGATGGGCAGGTAAATCAGAATGCTTCCTTAAAACTGAATGCAGAAGACCAGGTGGTAAACAAGGGTGGAGAAAGGGTTAGGGTTGGAAAAGTTTTCAACAATCATAACAGGATTAGATCAGAGGATATCAGTGCATGCCAAGTGCAGGGGAGACTTCAGTAAGGCGTGTGATATTTGCATGGCCTCTCCTCACAGATTTCTCAGTAGTTGCTAGAGGAAGCCTGGTAATGCTATAGGGAGAAACTGGGTCACATCCACCTTGACGGGTCCTCAAAGTGAACCCCACCTTGGAGGGGGAGGAAGATGAAAGATGAAGGTCGAGCGGGCTGTGCCTACTCCAGCCAGTGGCTCCCAGGATGAGCCACGTCAGCTGGTGATATTTCCTGTGATTCTGCTCACAAAGCAACACAACTCTGAAGAACCAAGACACAAAGAGTAGTACTGAGATAGGATGCTGGGGAAACGCACATCTGTGGTCCCAAATCCCTTCTGAGCTGTGGGCTGCTGGAGTCCTTGCGGGTTTGAAACATGAGCTGTCCTCGAGGGAAGAGGCCAGCACCAGCCCAGGACCCATGTGCTTCCACCTGCGTTCATGGCTCGGCAGCTGTGTTTCCCCCAGCTGGGCACTTCTCCGGTGCCCTCGAGCTGTCCCAGAGGAACAGTCAAACCATCTTGGCAGAAGGACCAGGGCTGGTGTGGCTGCAGAGGGCACTGGCGTCCAGCCTGGCGCCTTCCTGGGGTGACCTGGCCCTGGCTTTGCTGAGCCTTGCTCTGGGAAGGGGAGGGAGCTTCTTGCAGCCTGCGTCTCCTGCAGGTCCCTCTGCGTGTCACCCCTACCCTGCTGCTGAACCCTGCGTCTTCCTTTGTCCACCCTCGGCCTCCCTGAACCTCGATCCATGCTCCCTGCAGGCAGAGACCAGACCTCGAGCCCCTCCGTGGCATCGGAACAGTCGCATGCTCCCAACTCCGGTGGGAACTGTGTGAATTGTGTTTACCATTGCTTCTGCAGATGGCATGCTTTCAGATTTTTATTTAAATTGTCCACCTTCTTTCTGCTGGGTGCCCCTCCTTGTCCCGTGTCTGTCTAAATCTCCAGAGAACACATCTGAGTTTTTGAGTTAAAGCAAATCCAGCCTCTCCTTCAGTTCCACCTGTCCTTCCTGAACACTGTTGCTCAGTGACAGACGGTCCCATTAAGTCTTTTTCTCTTCGGGGGAGAAATTGTCATTCTGCGCCTGCCGCCCGTCAGTGTCAGGGGGATGGAATGAACTGAGTGGGTTCCGGTTAATGAACACCAGAGGGCCGGATTTGGAGGGAAGCTGCGGCTTTTGAGAACTGGCCACTGGGTCTCTGGGTCTAGGGGTGGACCCGGAAGAGCTGAGTCCTTTAATCTTCGCTGCTCTATGTAATCTTTTCACTGTGCCCTTTCTGAAGATCATCTAAAGCAATATTTATTTACATTCTGAATGTTTTTGAAAGCTCTTCAACACCCAGTCCCCTAATGGCGTTTTCTTTCCTCCCCGGGCTCTGGCGCCTCTGGAACGTGCAGTAAGGAAGCAGGGGCAGGGCGTGGATGCCCCCGCAGAGCAGTCCGGGCAGAGCCGGCTCCCTGACAGGGCGAGTGACAGAGGCTCTCAGGAGCAGCCGTGTGAGGAACGCTGTCCCCGCCAGACCCGAGTCCTCGCAGGGGCGGCTGGGGGCTGCAGCTGCGGCCCCGGGATTCAGAGATGGATTTGGAGCTCGGGCAGTGGCCATGGTGCACCCAGACGCCCTTCCCGTCTATCCGGGTCACCCTCCCCGTCGGCAGTGGTGACCACAAAGCGCTGCAGGGCCAGAGCCAGGCACCCTTCCCGGAGTGTTTCAGGAGAAGGCAGACATGGGGCTTGAAGAAGACTCTCTCGAGTTTTCAATGTTGGCTTCTGAAGAAACCATGAGGAGCAATGGAGCACTCATCTGCGAATGAGTTTGCAGACCTTGTCTCAGGGCTGGTTGGAAGTGTTGCCCTCCCATTCTCGGCTGAAGGATCTTTCCTCGTCCTTGTCCTCCGTGCTGCACAGTTCCACTTGGCTTCGCTGTCCCTACACCCCTTTCTTCCTTCTATCCCTCTGGCCTCTGCACCTTCCAGGTGGGGTGGCTGCTCCCTGGCCCTTCCTGGATCCACAGCCCCCCTGTGATGGTCCTTTGCCCCTTGCCCCCTTCTTTGTTCTCTGTCCACGGGAATCTCACCCATCTTCCAGCCCACTTCCATCCTCTTCTGAGTTCTCCTGCACTGAATTCTGAATTTGCTTTGCCCTCTAGTGTGCATAAGGCAGTTTGGCTGAAAATACACACTTGTCGTGTTTGCTAGTTGCACTAGTGTTTTACCTAGGACTCTCCTCAAGCAACAGAAGCCCAACCCAAATGTCTTAATCCATGAAAGGAATAAGTTAGTGCACATAATGAAAAATTCAAAGGCACATCTGTCCTCGGATATGGCTGGATCTACGTGTTATATTAGCACTGTCAGGAATCTGCTTCTCTATCCTGCAGCTTTATCTGGGCTCTGTTAATGTCTGCTAGGCTGAGCAGATGGCTCTAGGGTTTCATCTGTCAGCTGTAAAATCTTTACAGAAAGAGAACTTATCTTTCCTGAGGATTCTAGCACAAGTCTCAGCTTGAATCTCATTGGCCCAAACCAAGTCACATGTTCAGCTCTGAACAGTCACTATGACCAACGGAATGGAATATGCTAACTGGCCAGCTGGCTCACGTGACTGTGACCACTGTGGGAGTGCTGGTGGTGTCAGCTTCACCTGGGTAACTCGTGTGCTGGAGGAGTGCCAAAGCAAAGTGGCATGCTGCTCTCAGAAGGAAGGGACAATGGTGCCACTTTGGTAAAGTCCAACTAAACTAGAAAATTTCATCTTGTCAATTTTTCTACTTTCTTAGTCAAGTTTAATTTAGAATATGTACCATGAGGGTGAGAATTTAGCTCAATGGTGTCGCTGCCTGCCTCGAAAGTGAAAGGTCCCAAGTACCAAAAAAAAAAAAAAAAAGATGAGAATATGTACTGTGTCTTCTTGTGCTATTTCAGTAAGTATTCATTCAATACCTCCTCTGTTCTGGGTTCTGGGTGTTGTACTGAAAAGGAAAGGTGTAGCTCTTGCCTTCACAGAGGTATATATTGGTCAGTGGATTCACCTTGCAGAGAATTAGCCACATAATTCCTGATGCATGTGTATTGACACATGAGGTATTGTGAACGAAAATAAGACCACTGAGTCAGAGAGATACGATTTTGTCTGGGAGGGGGGCACTGACTTTCTTGACGAGGGGGTCCGAGGATTCCCAAAGCTAAGTAGACAACACACGAGAAAAGGGTAAGAATTATGGGGTGGCTGGGCATCTTCCACACATCTCTCTGGGTGCTCAGTGGATGAAGGCTGGTCTTCTTGAATGGGTTAAGGTTCTACAGGGACTTGTCAGCAGGTTTCTATGGAAACTCCTGAGAGTTCTAATCTTCAGTACAATCTGATTGCCCTTTATCTAGAAAAAGTTTGATTCATTTTCAACCCATGAAATTCTGGTCATACACTTGGACTAGCCTGCTCAAACTACCATCACAAAATGCCACGGGCTGGCTGATTTAAACAGCATAAATTAATTTCTCATAGTTCTGGAGGCTTGGATTCCCAGCTGCTGTTAATGTAAACTCATTTTGCAGAAGATCTAACTCATCTTCTTGTACCCTCCCAGGACCTTTCCTTGGTGCACCCTCAGTGACAGAAATTCAGTGCAGCTTCTTCTTCATATGAGGGCACCAATATATTGGGCTAGGGCCCCATGCTCATGACCTCATTTAATCTTTATAACCTCGTCACAAGCCCGCTGTCCAACTTAGGACTCCAACATATGAATTTTATAGGTGCAGAGACATTCAGTCCACAGCAGCTCTGTCCAGTCATGTGCAAGATATGATCAAAGAATACAGTGAATGTCTAAATTTAAAACTTTATACAGCAAAGGACACATTGCCATTAATCCCAGTTAAAATACTCTCCTTCACTTTCAAAACATTTCTCCCATTGTTCTTGCCACTCTCCAGCAGTTCTGGAAGTCCTCTTTCAAGAGTGGCTTTTCTTGCATTACAGTGGCTGCTTTGATTCCTGAACTGACTCAAAATGTTGACTTTTCACCATCATTTTGACTTTGCAGAAGAGCCAGAAGTCAGACAGTAACAGATCCAGGGAGTAAGGTGGATGAACACACACTGTAAAGTTTTTATGAGCCTGCCTTTTCATCAGATAGCACTCAGCAGAATTCACCATATTTTTTATCACAGTCCCTGTGTACAATTACAAAAGAGGACTTCCAGAACTGCTTTAGGAATTAGCCAAGAGGACGGGCTAATTATGTAAGAACTAAGGGGAGCTATTTTGAGGGAAATAAGTGGCAATATGTCTTTTACTGTAATAGATTTTTCTGTATTTCTCAGTCCCCCGTTGTATCTATTATTTTTGTAGGTGAGGCAGGCACAGGTCTCATGTCGAAGACCCAGGGACCCAAGTTAATGAGCTGATTAGCTGAGCTGAGGGATGGAGTTAAAGAGAGAAAGGAAGATTTCCTCTGTAAGCTAACTGGTCCCAGGCTGATTAAATCTTCCAATTGCATTAAATGGTACGGGCTGAGGATCTGTCTTCCAAATATGAAGTACACTGAAAACAATCAAATGACTCTTCCAGAGCTAAATAAAGCTTCCACTTGATCCTTCCAATCCTCTCCTGACCCACACAGCTTTACTCAAATCCTACTTGTGTGGCAAATGGGTTTTCATTAGTGGCAGGGTATTTTTACATTGCATGGTTCACTGCCCTCCATTAGCGCACTGTCCCTTGGGAATGGGAGGGAACTCGTATGAAGGTCTACACCCTCCTACCAGTCCCCAAGCAGGGATGACAATGGGAAGTGTTCATGGCCCGATGTGCACCAAAGATGGAAGTCTCTTCTGTTTGTGAGATAAGGACTGTCAGGTGTTTATAGGTGGCTCCCCTTTTGAGTTGAGCACTTTGGATATTTCTGATTTACAAAATCAATTTTCACTTAGACTGCATTTTCTCTATCTACAGGTCTGATCATCTAGACCTGTTGTATTTGGCAATGCATGGCTGTGCATTTGGAGGAAACATAAGGAAAGAAATATGCAGTCACTCACCAGGATGCACTAAATCTACTACTCCTGTTTAGCCGGAAGTCTGGGTCACACCCACCTCTGGGTCTCCGCTGGGAGGAACAGCTGGAGGTCCTGAGTGGGGGGCAGTTCATCCCTTTCCTCCTGCTCCAGGAAAGTCCCAGCAGTACCCACCCACTTCAAAGGTTGCCCCAAAGCTGGTGGAACCTCCTGCTCAGAGCAGGTCCTCCATGAGCCTGGGGTGGCTGTGGGACACAGGTGAGCGATTGGACTCTGTGGGCTTTCTCTGCCTGGCCTCAGAAGGTCAGATGTCTGTGGGGGCCAGGCCACCTCCCTCCTCCGCTTTGGGTTGTGGGGGCCTCCCCAGTGTGCGCAGATCTGGCCTGAACACATGGGGATCGGACCCCACACAGGTCGTGGCCCTGCACCGCCCGCTGACACCGAGTCTCCCAGCACCTGTCCTCGGGTGGGCCCTGAGCTGCTCAGGGTCAGGGCCGGTGTCACCCCAGTGTCCACAGCATCGCCTCAGGGCCTGGCGCTGAGCAGGTGAGCCGTGACTGCAGGAGGTCTGACTCTCCCCTCGCTCTCCATAATTAAAGCAGGCCAAGCCGCCTCAGCTGTGTGGGCTGAGTTTCACCAGGCCACACCGGTGATGGCTTTGTGTAGGATTCTCAGTCATCCTGAGTCCTGGGATGGATTTCCAGACCTGCCTGGAAAAGCATCAGCCCGTGCTGGAGCCAGCAGTCAGCTGCAAGAGCAGGGGCAGCTATTTATTTTGCTAAATAACACGGAGGACGTGCTCTGGCTTAATGGCATGGTTTTGCTGTGGGGGAGAACAGTGGGGATTCTATGTCAGTGTTTCTTGTTTACGAGAATTTGATGACCTTTCCTGGCCACGCTGGAGAGTGCCCTGGGGGTGGAAATCATTGTCTAATTTGCTAAGGTCATTGGCAAAAGAGTGCGTTTGCAGCTCCCACCTGGAAGTCACACATTCATGCTCCGGAGGAGCAGCAGTGTTAGTCTCTCCCCACCCAAAGACCTGGCAGTGAGGAGTGTGCTGCCTGAACCCCCTTCCTGTGTCTCCAAAGCACTAGACGCTGGCTCAGTCCTGGGGTCAAGACTCCTGCGCGGCAAGACTCTCTGGGAGTCAGAGGCTGAACCCCACCAACAGTCATGGGTCGTGGGTTTGAGTCCCCGCTCTGCCACTAGGGAGTTGTGTAGCCACCCATGACTCACTTAACACTTCTGAGTTTCCGCTTACTAATTTGTGGAATAGATAATTTCATTTTTTTCAAACATCATATGTGTATTTGCTAGGGACTAAAAGACATTAGGAATGCAGTGAGGACCAGGATTCAACATCTCTTTTAATCAACAGGAGTCTGTACTCTAGTGGAAAAGAAGGAACACACACAAATAAAATCAATGGGGAAGTTTGAGCAGAAAGTAAAGGTGCAGCCGTTCCCCCAGTTTTTGGCACCAGGGACCAGTTTCGCAGAAGACAATGTTTCCGCGGGAGGGGACCCCAGGGGCAGTGGCCCGGATGCTTGGAAGGAGCACCCCACTCCAGTTTCTCCACGCAGTGCACGGTCGGGGTCATGCTCCTGTGGGGTCCTGATGGGAGGTGGAGCTCAGGTGGGATCTGAGGGATGGGCAGCAGCTGGAGAGGCGGGAAAGAAGGATGAAGCTTCCTTCTCTCACCTGCTGCTCAAGCCCTGCTGGAGGGCTTGGTTCCTAACAGGCCACAGGCAGCTTGTGTGTGTGTGTGTGTGTGTGTGTTTGTAGGCAGGCTGCCTGAGGGAGCCCCCCCACCCCCAGAAAGCCCCTGGGAGAAGGGGACCCTGGTGGGAAGCTGTGCAGAGCAGCAGCCAGGTCTGCAAGCTGTGGAGGAGCCCTGCAGGCCGAGGGCAGAGCGGACGTGCAGCTGGGCAGCTGGGCTCTCCCGGTCCCTACAGCGCTGGCCAGCTCGAGAATTCAGAGATTCATGTACCAGGGTGTCACACTGTGTTCTGTGGTTCTCTGGGGTAGCTTGTGTCTTCTCAGGTGATTTATCTTCCTGGGTCTGGGTCTGGTTTTGCTGTCTTCACAGAGGCTCAGACTTTCTCCTAAGGACCACACTGCTGATTAGATGCAGCCCCTGTCCCCTCTGCTTCATGGACTGTGAAATTCAGCCTGGGAGTCACCCTGTCTGTCCCTTCAGGTCCCATGCTACTACTGGCTTGAGGGTAGGAGTGCAGCAAAGGAGCAAGAAAATCCTCCCCCTGAGACCTTATAGATCCCTGTTTCTCATTCACTCCTTTCCCAGGGAACAGAGTATTTCAGGGAAATCCATGCAAGGAAGGCTGAAATGCACCTGTTGTTTTCAGCGGGGCCTGAAGATGAAAAGTCCTGGCCCTTCTAACAAACGCTGCTATGCCTGAAATCGATGAAGATTCCTAGGAGAATAATGCAGCCACAGCACTCTCAGAGCTGGAGCGTTAGCCACCAGCTCACACAAGGTATGTTCGGTTCCTGTGCGAGTCTTCCTGCATCTGAACGGAACTTCTCAGTGACCATGTCCTGCCCAAGCCATGCACTGCTGCAGCTGGCCAGAGAAGGGCTGGAGTCAGCCTTCCCTCCTCCCTGAGCCAGGCGGGACCTGCACGCTCTGAGGCTACTGGATCCCCCAGGCCAGAGCTGCTTGGACTCAGGAAGCGACTTGGAGACCAGTCAAGGGAAAGTGCTGCTGGACCTCAAGCAGAATTAGTCCCTGGATCCTGGCTCCTCGCTTACTGGCCTTGGGCGCACACCAGTGCCTCCTCCAGAGACAGGCCTGGCCTAAGAGGAAACCTGAGGTCACCCTGTGGCGTTGGGCCGGCCTGTGAGCACAAAATGAAGGTGGAGGGAGGTGGGCAAAGGAAAGGCGAGTTCTCCACTCTAAGGTGCACCCTGTGAAGAAGATACTGTGACTTCCTCCATGCCTCACGTTCTATGTTAGAGGCTCAGGGGCGTGAAGGGCTTCTATGGAAGAAAATGGGGTACAGGGAGACAGCAGGCAGGAAATTCCTGCACTGCATGGGGGTCTTATTCAGAGCACGGTCTTCTCATGCAGTAGGCTCTTTCCCTCCAGTGTGCACTGCTTCTGTCTCCTGTTTCTCCTCATGGAAGCAGAAGTTGGCCTTGGTCTCCTGGGGTCAGCGTCTGCATTTTCTTTTCAGACAGACACATTGCTTTCCCATGAGCCAAGTTGTACAAGGAGAAAGAGTGGTACAGAGGCCTCTTGAGGAATCAGAATACCACATGGGAGGTATCGGTCCATTAGAGACTAGGGGAAGAGTGGGGAGAGGAGGAATTCTGCTAATGACATTTCCCCTAGAAAGCTGTTCTGTTACAGGAAAGACTGACCAATTTTTCCTATGGTATCAAGGAAGACATCTCAGAATAATAATGGTATTTTTACTTGATATTCACAAATCCACACTGAGCCCTGCTGTGGGCGGCTGTTACTGTAGTAAAGATCACACCCACGCCTCTGTGGGTCACAACCAGACTGTACCCTCAGCTCCCAGGTCTGCAGCAGGAAGGGGCTGGTCGATCTTGGCTGTGCCTTTGCTCCCCAAGGCTGAGGAGCAGCTTGTGGGTTGAGCTGGGGCGGATCTGTTTGTTCTCTCCACTGTCCTTGGACTGCAGAGCCAGCTCCTCCGCCATGGTAGTGGCAGAAGCTCCAGAGCAAGCTCAGTGCTGCAAGGTCAGGCCACACCTTCCTCCGACTCCTTACTCTGTGCCCACCAAGGAGGCTGTCAGGTCACCCTCAGACGGACTGGAAGTCACCCTCATTCTGTACAACCTTCAGACAGGTTTCTTCCTGCCTTCGGGCCCTGACCTTCCTTTTCTTAGCACATTTACCTTAGAAAATTGTCATTGCAATTTACTTTTTTTTGTTCCCTTGAGATGCATATGTTTTCAAAAGCTTCTTGCCAATTTTACAAACCTAAAATGTCTCTCTCTCAAGGCCCTAGGAGCCATCTCCTTGTGAAGCAGACACCAGGGAAGTCGGGGCCCCTGTCCCAGTCCCTGTGGGAGGGAGGAAGCCGCACTTCAGCAGATGCAGCTACAAGCAGTGCAGCTGCTTCCCAGGAGGGTTCTACCTGGCCTTTGGCAAAAGCCAACTGCCAAACACAGATGGCTCCTCATCCACCCACGTGTCCGTGGTTCAGTGGGGTTTTGGCCTCTTTCTCATAGATCAGTAACCTTGAACAAGGTCATCTGTGCCTATTAATTTTGATTGACTTTGGTTATCATTGACTTAAAAGACAGGCTCAGGGGGAGTCCTAGTCAGAGGAGGATGAGGAGGACCCGGCCATGGAAGGTGCTGAGGTGATAGGCAGAGCAGGAGCTCAAGCACAGGTCCTTGGAATAGAAGGAAAGGTAGTGAGGATGGAAGGTAACCGGTGTGACTGTGGGCAGACAGCACAGGGCAGTGCGCGTGCTTACTCTGAAGCACAGTGGGGTTTTGCAGCCTGGTTTCAGCAGAAAAGAGGAATGTTGTGTAGAGAATGGATGATGAGAAAAGAGAAAAGCAGGAGAGCAAGCAGGTGGCCCGTAGACATCCAGGCGAGCCACGAGAGGGTCTGGCAGGTGGGGGTGTAGCTACTTCAGAGGGGGTCCAGGAGGACCTTGGATGGGTTAGAAACAAAAAGTGAGCAGAAAGAAAGAATCTAGGGTGAAATATCCAGTTAGGTGCAATAAAGGCAGGGTGAGCCTTTGGGAAATGCACCCTCTACTTCTGTTGCTTTGTGGAGGTGCAGCTGGACCCCAGGCCCTCTGAGCGCATGATGAGCCCTGTGGACCAGCAAGTGGCTACCTGGCCCCTCTCCGTGCCCCTGCCATCTCCTCCACTGCCTGGGGAGCTGCCTAACAGAGCATGCATGGTCATGTGTTCTGGTTAAACTGGAACAAGTTCACGTTACAGCTGCAGTCGGTTACCGACACTGTCTACCTCCACTCCAACCTGGCCCACAGATGCTGTGCCTCCGGGGGAGTGCCATGGGAGTTGAGCTGTGTTTTTGTCATCTGCCTCAGAAAAATGGAAAAACTGAGTTAGGGATACAACGGGATGTACCCTATTTGTATTCGTCTCTCTATATATCCATATCTATATTGATATCGACACCTATGCCCATATTCTTAATTATATTCATACCCATAGCCATATTCATATCTATAACTGTATCTATACCAACTTTTGTACCTATCTCTCTATTCCTATTATATGTATATCTGTGTCCACAGCTATATCCCTATCTATAGCTATGCCTGTATTCATGTCTATGTCCACATCCATATTTATAGCCCTGTCATTAGCTATGCATCCATATTCTTATCAGTATGTATATCCAAATCTATATTCATATCCAGACTCATTACTATATACCCAATGTATATCCATATCAACAATTGTATATCATATCCATATCCAGATCTGTATCATCGGTGGCATGCAGACACAGACCTTGGGTGCATAGGTAAGCTGTGAGCTATCCCCCATGAGGTGCTCTATCCGACTGCTGTCTGACTCTTGGATGCTAGACTGAGGGGGTGTCAGGATGGTACTGTGTCCTGATATGACTATAATTTATGGTACCCAGCACTGGAAGGAGGTAGTACGTGTGTGTGTATGTGTACATATGCATTTTGGGAAGAAGAGCTATTAGTACACAGAACCAGAAGTTGGTCCTAAAGATTTTTTTTCAAACTTTATATCTCATATTTAAAATAAATGTAATAAGATTTTCCCAAATTGGACAATGATCCTAAACATCTGCACAATATTGCCAAAGATGAGCTTCAAGGGGGAAAGAAAACAGATCTATGCCAGCCATGGTAAAAGAAAAGATGAATTATCTAGAACACAGAATGGACAATAGAACAGAGTCAAGAACAAGGAATTTTTAATTGTCATCTGAAGTGATGATAAAAGGTGGCAGAAATACAACAAAGACAAGCATTATAGATATCAGGCAGTTAATGAATAAAATGCTGCGATACTCACTTTCTAAATTTTAAATTGTGGTTCCTCTGTTAGTGTGCATAATTTTTAATTTTTATGCCTATAGTAGGGTTACCAACTTTTTAGTTTTTCACCAACTTCAAAGTGCTTCAGCCCCACACACCTGGATCTTCCCCTGCTGTGACTACTGATGTTGGGTTGGGCAGGGGGAGTCTGCAGCCATAAGATCCTGGAAAATCTGCTCTCCGGACACTGATTTCCCAGGGTCCCTGAGAGTCGTGCAGATCTGAGTTCTGCTGCAGGGCGAGGAGCCATGGCCAGTGGGACTGTGACAAGTGTGGGGGGCGCTGTGCGCTCTTTCCAGTGACTCTTTCCAGGTTCTTGTTGTCCTGGACAAAGAATTGGACAAGACACATGCAAAAGAGAGCAAGGTTTCACATTTATTAAAGGTAGAAAGAGAAATATGCTCTGAAGAGTGAGAGCAGGCCACTGACAGAGAGCACAGTGGCCACAAGGTGCATAATGGCAGCCAGCTTTCCTGTCTCGACTTCTCCAGGCTGACGTCAGAGCTAGGCCATCCTATCAAAAGCCTGCTTGATTTTGTACAGGAAGAACCGAAGACAGCACTTTCTGATTGGTCCCAGGTACAGGAAACTGTTTCTTCTGCACTCGTGTCCCAGATCTCAGTGCTGGACAGGTTACCCCTTGCCCAGCTGGCCTGCCACACCCTAATCTTCTGCCTCAGGGTGAGCAGCGGGAGGGAGCAGTGCCACCACCAGCACCAGAAATATTTTCCCAATATTTCCCTGGATGGAGTGTGAGGTGCAGGGAGGTGAAACAGGAATTTGACAATCTTCCTTAATTCTCTTCATGAAATATAATATCTCCTTGAGTTTAACAAAGCCACATTTCTGAAAGAGGTTCATTAACACTTCCATAAAATAAATGAATTTAATTACTTCAGCTTAGAAGAGGCAGTGTTAGGTGGCAACTGAAGAGAGCCAGGGCTCATACATCGCACTTATTTGTTCCTGCTGTGGAAACTGAGAGCAGGAAGCGACGGTGTAACTCTCCGGGCTGACTAATGAATGTGAGCCAGAGTTTTTGTCATGAGAAGTATTATAATTAGAAGACTATTAACTTTTTTCTCATCCACTATTGTGCAAAGAACAAGCTAAAAGAAGCTCATCCTTCAAGGTAATTAAAATGCAAAATTAGCATTTTTTGTTTGTAAGTGTCCGATTTGGTTATATCAGTGTTGAATTTATATAAGTACCTGAATATTTGGAGACCTGATTCCCTCTCTCCTCCTCTGCTCCCACACCACAGCTCCTTTGCTGCTTCTAGCCCTTAGCCTCCTTCTAAAAGTCCTTGGGCCCAGGTTGGTGATGCAGAGGTGACAGGCCTCTCAGGGCTGGGGTGGAAGGTGCTTGGGTCACGGAGGTGCTGCCTTGGGAAGGGATTAATGCTGATCCCAAGGAGTCAATTAGTTCTCACCAGAATGGGTTGTACTGAAGCACGTTTGGCTCCCAGAACCTCTCCTGCTTTCTGCTTTGCTGTCTGATCTCTCCTCCACTGGAATATCATCTGCCAGGAGGTTCTCCCCAGAGCCAAGCAGATGCCACTCCCAGCTCTGGAACCTCCAGAACTCTAAGCTAAGTAAACCTCTTTCCTACATAAAGTACCCTCCTTCAGGTATTGTGTTAGAGCAACAGAAAATAAAATGCACCAGGGGCTTCTCTGAGCCAGAGCACATCTTCTCATCCTCGTGGGCATGGTGCTAGTGGATGTCAACCCCACACTAGATGCTCACAATCGTACGTGGAGTCAAGGAATGAACAGTGATTCGAGCTTTCCAGCCTCAGGTCCTCAGGGAGCAAGGAGGCCCAGGGCAGCGGTCCCAGTGTGCTGTTTTAGACAGCAAATCAAGGCTTTGAGAGTGTCTTGGGATGGGGTGGGTGTGCAGGGGTTTGGAGGGACTCCGGGGTGACTCTGTAGACACAGACACAGGGGCAGCAGGTAGCGAGTGCAGCGAGATGTACATCTACTAAAAGTGGAAAGGAAGTACACTCTGCCCAGTGAGTCTGGGCCAGTGAACAGAGTCACAGTGGGCCCTGGATGAGGATAAGGGGTCTTTTGTATACAAAATTCATGGGTTAGCTTCTACCTCATGCAAATAAGGCAGTGGGAAGGTTGTCCTATCAAGAACTCACGGCGCCCGATTTAAACTGCGTAATTGGAAGACCTCTTTGGTTCCTGCCAGGTGTGAATGATGAGTTGGAAAGAGCCCTCTTCTGACTGGTCCTGC